GTTTCTGGCTCAAACATTGCAAACGTGTAGTTCTGTTTTTTTTTTTTTTTATATAGCATTTCACCTTTCCACAGGCGTGGAAGTGTTGTGCCTTGGGAACACATATTCTAGCAATGGTTCCAACTTTGGATTTGGAGAAGTCTTGCAAGATGCTTGCTAGATTCCATGGGTTATTTGTTGTTTTGATTTCATTGCTCTGCAGGCGGCGGGAACATGGTGAAAACAAAATTTGTGACCCAGTCGTGTTCTCACAAGAACTTGATTTCATTGTCCGAAACCTTTTGCTTGAAGTGACATTTTAGGTCGGACATGAAGATTGGGTTGATCGGAGATGAGGACACGGCTTGCACCCCAGTCCCAGATATCGTTGTCGTTCGCCAATACTTTTCCACCATCAGCCATTGAAATTGTCAGGTCACTGGCATGCTTTTGGCAGGTATTGGCCATGTTGATGGGCAAGGAGTGGAAGCAGATGGGGGAAAAGCATGTGGGTTGAGACCGTTCGGCGATGCCATTGCATTTTTTGCTTCTGGGCGCAGGCAAGAAAAATTTCCTGGTGGTCGATTCCAAAGTCCACATCAAGGAACTGGGGTGTATCTGTTTCTCCGACCATAAGTCAAAATTCTTGTCGCTGCAGGACATAGAAGAACACTTCCATGAACTTACTGCGTGTTTGCCTTGGTCATTTCGTTAGGTGACTGTGATTTTTTCTAGAGAAAACCTGTGTGTCCTTTTTTTTGCATGTTTTTCATGCCGAGCACCCTTGTTTGCCGGTGGGACATGAGGCGGAAAGATATCTCCATGATTCTGATCACGCAAGATTGCGCAGAGCTGTGCACAGACTCAGAATTGAAGGAACATATCATGAACAAAACAAGGTGAACAGGCGTCAGGCACCACATCGTAACTTGTTTTTGGGAGCAGAAGGCATAGGAGGGGTTGATTCAACTGGTAGATTTGTACATTGACATGACATAGGCTGTACGGGCTATACGTTGATATTCTTGCGCTATTTCGGCCACATCCCTGTCGGAGCCATATTTGACTCAGGATTCGGAGAGCCGTAGATGAGTTCAGCCACAGCGCACAGATGATCCCAACAGTGTTGGAGATTCCCTCCAAGGAGAGGGTCAACGGAAACTGACGACCAAGTGTAGCGAACAGGGTGAGCGAAGAGGTGAAAGCTTCGACAAAGCAGAGTCACCATTATATATTCCGAACTCCATGGAACATGACCTTTTGGAAGTGCGTGTGTTCACATTGTTCATTGCGTTTCTGAACCTTTTCACAAGGCCCAGGGTTTGGCTTCTCAACACAGCTTGTGGCGAGGACACTCCTTACGATCCTCGAAAAGATGGAGCTGAATACTCAGAGAGGGTTTGTGCAGTAGATTCCATGCCCCTATACCTCCCTCTATTCGCTGAGGGCCCGCAATTCTCAGGCACGTGCAGACAATCCACCGACCGATCCCTGAGAAGCAGGATTCGGAAGAACATCTTTCCTATTCTTCTCCTCGTCCCTGAGACATCCACCATGGTAAGAGCGACGCCTCTGTGACTCTGCAGAAGCGAAATCCACACTTCTGCGGTCAGCTCGCTCCGCCTTCTGAGAGCTTGACCTTCACAAGGTGGAAAGATTGACCCTGGGCAGTTGGGAGAAAGGCCGAAATTAAATGGCCTGTCGTCTCTCCCAACATCCCACAGGATTGATTTCTGGAACAACCAGGCTGATCGAAATCTTCTCAGATTCTACCATTGAACCACCTTTTTGGATACTCACGGCTGCCATGGCTGATAGCTTGGTGTATCTGAGGGAGGTGCGATGCAAAAACACGATTGAATTGGTTATCATCCAAGTGAAAGGGAAAGCTGCGGGCACTCTGATCTAATCTAAGCCATTGTGACACTAGCCAAGCCCAGTGTGACGCCTTGATCACTGAAGCCGCTGGACGCTGCCTCAGGTCATGCAGCGGGTTGCCTTCTTTATGCCTTCCGCTGGGGACTTGGCTGAGCCGGGAGAGTGTATGTATGTCCATGTTAAGGTCCATCCTCGAAGGACAAACAATGTGAAGCTGAGGCCATGGCATCCTTGGGCGTAGAGATCTGAGTTTTGCAACGGCCACAGCGGCCATCGGTCCTTCCTTTCGAGGAATGGCTGAAAGTGTTTCAGCGTTCGGAACGGCGCCCGTTCCTTCAGTCCGTCCATGGGCCGGGCTTGACCAAAAAAGCGTGTGGCGCTATTCTGCAGGAAGTTTTCTGTTTTTTTTTTCAGTGTTTGAAGTGCTATGGAGCCATTTGTATATATATATACACATAACTATACATATTCACTGTACTTACATACATATGTATGTATATATATATATATATGGCTTTCAAACGCTGCAGCTGCAGATCAAGCTTTGCCTGCATGATAGTGCCATTGCCGCGAAGCACGGCCAAGTTTGACATGTAGCGGGCAATCCGATGCTTAGAGGTGCCACTTGACGTGCCACTTGAGTTCTTCAGTCGCATGATACAATTGTGAAAAAAATCTTTTTGGCACCAAAAGCATCTAGGTACTATCGCATTGTTGAAGTTGACCTAGACCACATGACATCTCATTTTGAGACAACTTAGGGGCATGTGCCGAGCATGTTGGATGCGAACATAACATGACATGGGTTCTCAATGGCGAGCGCGCTACAGGCGGGTCTGGAACAGTTGAATGGCAATGTGCAGACTGGCCTGTCGTCAACATGTTGTAACTCGTGGTCAACTTCTTGAATTTACTGATTTTAGTTTACGTGTTAAAGTTTACAGTAGGATAGGACAGTGCACTTGACATACTGCACTTGGAATCCCCAAAGACAAGGATCCGAAACGGCGCTCCTTTGTTACGTTGGAGAATCAGCCGCATCCTTGGGGTTCGTCCCTTTCTGAGAATTTAAATTCAAAAAACAAATGCACCGCAAACCGGCGATTCCAAGCTTGCCACTCGCACACAGATAAGCAGGGCATTACACACACACACACACCCGCGCGCGCGTAGCCGCTCCAGATATCCTGGCTTTCACAGACTTTCTCCCGCTTAGGCAGACCGCCCGGGGTTTGCCATTTGTGAGCGATGGCTGCTGCAGCGCCTTGGCAGCTGTGGTTCGAAGATGTACAAAGTCCTTCAACTAAGAAACACTTCTTTATCGCCAGATCGACTGTTGGCTGGTTTTTGGGGCCTTAAACTTCAATCTGGCCAAGTCTTCCTCTTTAAAGAGGCAGCTGTGTACCCAAGGCAGAGATGAACTGCACCGCCAGAAGCTTTGTGAACCAGGCACTGGCGAGTGTGATGAAACAGCTGCGCTCCACAGGCGCGCGTCCAATCGGTTGATTGAAAGTCAAGATGCGGGTTGTTGCCCTTTCCTTTACAAAAAACAACAAGTGCTGTATACAGTATGCAGATGCTCCAGGAGTACACGAGGATGCTGTCGAGAGTGAGCTGTCTTACCACTTTGACCCTGGCTATTCATTTGGCGAGCAGCAATCTGAGTGCAAACTCTTCGGCAACCAAAGGGTATGATGTTCATGTGCGGAGGCCGCAGCTGAAGGTCTTTGAATGCTTTTTTGTCTGAAGGATCTTGCTAGTTTTGTGTACCGCAGGAATCCAGCGGTGTCTTTTTGTTGGGTTATTTAGGTCATTCGTGTAGGGATCGCAAGAACATCCCAGCACCCAAGCCAGGCAAGCAGAGAACTGCCATCAGTTGATTCTTGCAAACTGCTTAGGCCTGCAGAAGCAGAGGAGTTCTGGGTTTGAAGGGAGAAGAGACAGGATTTGTGTTGGCTTTATTTTGTTTGAATCTCAGAGCTTTGGAGGGGTTCAGGAAACTTAAGCTCCATTCACTTCTTGGTACAACTCTTCTTCAATCGTGCTTAAACTTGTTGGTACCTTGTGGAGCTGGGAGCTAGTTTGGCATAAAGCCACTAGCACGAGGTGGATTTGTTTGGAATCCCGGCTCGGTTTACGAAAAATCCCCATGGCAGCAAGAAAGACCCTCCAGAATCAGTCCCATGCAACATGGCCAGATCATGTCACATGCAGCCTTTGTGCCATTGGGCCTGCCATGAGCATGACATGCAAACGGCCAAGGCCGGGCCGTTCTTTTTTGAGTTTGGTGCGAATCTCTTCTAAACTACTAATCTAAGGACAGTTTTAAACCAAACAACTTGGTTTATGAGTGGATGAAACTCCTGAAACACTTCGCAGTCAGTGGTTTGACCATTATCACACGACGGAAGCTAGCCGTACTTGTAGTGTGCTAAAGTTTCCCCTACAGCAAGTGATAACGATGGCCAGGGATTGCAAACAGTAGTTCAGCAGGTGCAGTTGATAGAATTCTGCACCAACTACAGTATATATGATAGATTAGTGCACTGGCGCACTGGAAGTGGTTCAAGTCCTTTCCAATAGTCTAAAACATGCAACGACAATCTTTGTCTTTTACATGTGGGAATGAATATTGCATCGTTTTTTGTAGGAAACAAGTGCTGGTTTGTTGGTAGAGGACTCTTACTTTGCCGCTCTTCCGGCCCCTTCTCTTTGGTTGCTGTCCTGCAAGTTCCAAATCAGTAAGTGGCTCCAATCTCGGACAAAAGATAACACCAGCATGACGTTTGTGGCTGCAGGTGAATGACATGCAGAGACACAATCCACTAGTTTTTGGCCACCAATGATAGGGGATGGTCATTCAGCTGCTGGATGGGGATTTTGAACCCACTGCTACCCAGTTTGGTGATTGACAATCCTAATCCCTCATGGCTAAGATATTGACAATAATAACACACTACTACTACCTTACAATATATCTGCTACTGTGCCCTGTGCCAGGCAAGCCTCACAGCTCAAGAGGTGCTGCTGAAGCAAATAGGCCAGGGTGCAGGTGTTCCGCAGGTTGCACTTTTTTGAATTGGTTGGAAGGTATTTCTTTCTTCGGGAAAGGCTTGCTCTGCTTGTAGTTTCCGAAATACTGAAGGTTTTGGAGTTGATCTTCACACAGAGGGTGCACTTGGTCGTGTCACAATTGCCAACATACTCTTTGTTCGGGCCATGGATTCTTCCACTTGTCCTTTGGTGGCATTGGCAACATGTGAGGCCTTGGCTTTGGTGGTGATCACTGCTTGATGCGCATGGGATGCCCTTGTCCAGTCTCTTGATACTATGCAACGGAAGCGCGCTATCCTAAGTATTGGCCTTCCCAAAGTCACAATGTTTTCAGAAGGCTTTAGGTTGGACCATTGGTGAAGTGTCTGGCTGGCTGGTTTAGACACTTGTCGTGAAAGCAATCTGGAACATGCCTTGAATACCCCTCATCTTGGTCGCTACCCTTTAAAAAGATACGATGGTGACGGTGTGTTGTCTGGTTGGCTTAAAGTCACCTGAATTCAATGGCAACGACACCGCGACTGCCGCCACTCATACATTGTCATCAAATATTATCAAGGAATGCTCCATTCCATCATGCAGTGAGTAGATGCAGGTGCCGGGAGTTGCTCAAGGATCATGAGCCTCGGGCTGGACAGAAGGCCTCGTTCATGCTTTGGAAACGTGTGGCTGAGAGCTTTGAGTTGTTTTTTTTGCTGTGGTGCACGCAAGCCCCAGTTTGATTGCGAAGTCTTGCATGCTAGGTAGAACCGAAGCCTTTTGGTTCAATTGAAGTCTTGGCTCCAACAGGGGCTGGCAGCCTCAAGGTTGTCGCCTGGCTTCTTTTTGCGCAAGCCATGTCAATGTGCACTGGTCGTGGTGCAATGCCCACTGGCACTGGCATCTACTCTTCGGTGCTGACTGTGATCTCCACAATTCCACCACTGCGATCCCAGCAGCCTCCGTCCTGTTTATTCTTTGTCAAAGGCCCTCGGAAATCAGCAAGGCAATTGGTATCAGAGCGTCACTTCTTCAGCAGTTTGATTGCCTTATTTGCCCCACTTGCACCGCTAGGACTCTTTGCCGCTCTTGCTTCTATTATGTTCGGCCGTGGTGATCTTTATCCCAAAGCAAAGGTCAGAGAAAGGGACATAGCACTCTTCCGGTTGCCAAAGACTTGACCGATCCTAAGATTTTGCCGCATATTTTTGCCAGCTTACATGGCTGTTCTCAGGCTGCCTTGGGGAGCGAAGGGCAAATGCTGTTTCTTCCACCAGCAAAGAATGTTGATCCATCCAAGCTTGAAGCTACACTCACTTTGCAAGAAGTGCCCAAAGGGTGCCGGGGCGGTTCAGTTGCAAATGTCCTTGGAAGCAAAGAAGCGAAGGCAGACTTTTCTGCTGACATGCTGAAACTCCTTGCCAAGGCCCATGGAGTGTACGAAAGTGATATTCACATTACTGACCTCCGCAAAGGCTCCCTCGAGTGTGACTACGTTGTCGATTCCCTGAGTGGGAGCACCAGTGTAAGCAGCGCTCCAACACATTTCAAAGAGAAACTCAGCGAGGTTCTCGGCGTGAACATGGCCAACTTCGAGATTGTGTGGAGCCTTCCATGCATTGGCTTCAATCCCAATGATTTTGATGAGGCTGGCAACAAGACAAACTGGGAAGGCCAGAAATTTGACATTGGACCCCCAGGCAACACGCGCACCTATCATCAGCCAGAAGGACGTGAGTGGGTCAGGTATGGTCTCAAAGTTTGTGGGTTTTTTGAGAGTGATACGTGGCTGAAGCCTTTCACTAAGAAACACGGGTTGTGGTATCGTGTGTTTCACGGTTGCAGGAACCCAGGTGAAAGCGCATTGAGCATCTACAAGGATGGGTTCGAGCCAAGCAGCAAGGGCACTTATGGACCGGGTGTATACTGCTCACCACTTATTGATCTTGCGAAGCAATATGCATTCAGGTTTGAGGTGCCTACAGAAGATGGTTTCGTGCTTGTGAACGTGGTGGTGCAAGCTGCCGTTAAGCCGGGGTGCATGGAAGAGCATGGAAGTGAGTGGTTGGTGAAGGATCCAAACCACATCAGACCATATGGCCTACTTATTCGGGAAGCTTAGAGGGTATCATAGAGAAGATCTCAAGAGTCTGGACTTTTGTGCTGAAAAGTGTGCGCCAAACTGCTAGAGCTTGGGATTTCGCTGAGCTGAGCTCTTGTGACAAGGGTGAGCCTGTGATTCTTTTGAGCCAGGTGTTTGGATGGCGGCAATTTGCGTGTTGAGCCGAGGCCTTGTATCCAAGTTTGGGTTGAAGTCCCATGACTTTGTGTAGCTCAGGGGGCACAATTAGGCGGCAAAATTGGATTTGGTGCATTAAGATGTCCATGTCCATGGTGCCTTTCGGGCGCTTGCACCTCCAGACTTCCCAGCGTGGTTCTGACTCCGCGAACAGTGGAATGCCGGCAAGGGTGTTCTCGACAGCCTTCTTGTTGCTTGGAGAGTGTTTACTGTATGACAAGGTGCCTTTGGATTCGATTGGTTTCTTGAGATACACTCTAGAGTCCGAAACAGGAGAATGTTTGTCTCCCACACTCCCTTGCACAGTATGCAACCCACGAAAGGCAGGAAGGTTGGTTGGCTAATGGTTAGCAGGCCTGGCCGTGGACGACTCTGTTTGTCAAACATTTGTGGCAACATGGCCTGTGATCCCGGAATGCAAGTCAGTACAGCACTACTGGCCTGGCACTAACGGGTCCAGGTTTTTCAGGATTTTCATCATCATTATCGACAATCATCAAATCTGTAGTCACGAAAGGTAGCTTGAGCTACCTGAGTTCTCCTTGCTTTAGCAAAAATGTATCACAATCAGGAGTTGGGATTGTGCATTGAATTTGGTCCTGTAAGAAATGATTCTGTTCGTCGGGGGGGGGGGCCCCCCTGGATCAAATCCACCCTGCGCCGGTTCACGCAGTCATGGACTTCTACCAGGGGTACTTGTGATTGCCTGCTACCTTTCGTTCACCCCCTCCTCTCTCAAGTTTTCAGTAACGCATCGCAGTGCCAGAGTGAACAGTTTTGACAAACTGCAGATCTTCAGGGAAGCTTATGCTTGCTTGGAATGACCTGCATGAATGAACAAGGCAATGAAGTGGCTACGAATCTTTGTTTGTTGAACTGCATGGATTGGTATTCCGTGGGACTTGCATAAGCTTCTGAGGCTGATCATACTGAAACCATTCGAGATCCGAGAGTGAGTGTCCAAGATTGCCGAATCCCCTCCACATCCCGAAATTCTCCAGCCAAAGAAGTTTTGCCCATATCCATTGAAATAAGGCTCCGGATGGAGTTCAAATCACCCTGGTCAGCTGACTAGATTGCTTTTGGTGTTCACCAAGTTTCTGGTACACCTTGATCTGTCAAGAGCTGCGGCCTTTGAGCGGTGTTTGTTTTCGTATCTCTAATAAAGGCTCGTCCACCCACCTATTTGTGGTGCAGTTGTGCATTTGTCCAGTCGCCAGGTCGCGGGTGCAGAAGCATCATGGATGGCAGGTGGAGAGAACTGGGGATTTCGGGTTGCCAGTATATATATATATATATCCATTTAGGCACTCTGGCCTTTCCTTTGTGAATGCATCTCGGAATTCACAAGCCCTTCGTGAACACATTGAGACTAAAGGAGTTACTTGCTGTCAATCTTGTGCGGTCCGAACCATCAAATAAAAAATTCTGAGTGACATTTTGAAGTGCCTCCCAACCAATATTTGGTCTCATGTTGCTATGCTCTAACCTGCCACATTCTCATTTGCTCCAACAGGTTCCCGAAGTCCATGGGCTATCCCCACACCGCAACTCATCCAACATGCCAGGTCCTCGTGGCAGCAGCTCTTCTGCTGCTTTGATAGCAGCTAGCAGCTAGCATGTCTAGTGAGGGGTTGGCCCTGCTAGGCCCCCTACATTTCGATTTAGCACAAAAAGAGGCAGCTGTGAGCCGCTGAGAAGCACAGCTGCTGCGAAGACGTAAGCATTGTTCTGTGATTTATTATTGCTCTTTTTTCTTTTTCGACAGAACAGCAATGTTGGATTTGGGATCCGAGTTGCATCAATGTGGCTGGGAGTTCGCACAGCTTCTTGGTTCAGATTGAGCGGCAAAGGTTCCACTGATCTGGAACATGGAGTAAGGGCCAAGAAGGTGACCAAAGCTTTTTGCCTTTGCTATTGAGCTACTACTGTACTTTTTGACTTATATACACCCAACACCACCTGATAGTTTTGGAAGTGCGAAAGGGGTTCATTGTTTTGAATGCTGGCAGTGAGTTGCCAACTGCAACAATAGCAACTTTGCAATGGTGTGCGTGCAAAGGCAGCCACCCACCTTTTCAATTGCATCCTGATCTCTGAGGCTTTGTGTCAGGCACTACATGGGCTGCAATGTTGATGCTCAGCTGTAAGTGCCACTGGATTTTGTGGGATTTGCACAATGGCAAAAAGAGTCACATCAATCCAAGGAGACCTACCCCGTTGAGATGCAGAGCCACCAACGAGGACACGCCATAGGGAGCGCGGGGCAGGACACCTGACTGTACGAGAGGGAGACTGTAGACTCCATAGTGGCGTACCAAACAAGCTCTGATGCAAAATGTTTTCTCCATGGATTTGCATGGAGAATTGGGCACCAGATGTTCAAAATCAGACTTGAAAAGGTGTATTCGTGGCTCGAGCGTGCTCGCTGAAAGGGATTAGTTGTTGAAGCATTGCAATCATGTATGAGTTTTATAGAGAGAGGAACGCTTTGCAACATGGAGACAATGCATACTTACCTTTCTTTCTACAAGGTGACACCTTTCAAACATGTGAAGAAGACACACCTCAGAAACTCACATAGACAGCTGCAGAGGCCCGGTCACTGGCCATGGAGAAGGCCGAGGCAGCGGTGGTCGTTCGGCGTTCTCCAGGGAACCCTCGCACACAATCGGTGCAGATTTTGGATCCCAATGAAGTGTGGAGAATGCCGACGGTGCCCATCCGTGGCCGGGTGAACAGTCTTAGCCCACCATATTCGAGTCACAGCCAAAGTGCTGCTGTGATCCTGGCGGCGTTGAGTATCGGCGTCCTCATTGCAGACCGCTTGCCTCCAGAGCCATCCACTTGGGGCCAGAAGGCCTTCCGTGCGTGGATGTTTTTGCCGGCCATATGGTTGCCATTGTTGGCATGGGTTTTGAAAGTGGACCCCCGAGCTAGTGTTCCTCAAGCTCGTTGTCAGTGCTCCCGCCCACTGGCACGCTGCAAGCATGGTTGCATCTTCGAAGTGGCACCAAAGACCCGGCACTGCCGCAAATGCGACAAGTGTGTGGCTGGTTTTGACCACCATTGTCTTTGGCTCAACACATGCATTGGAACTCGGAACTATGGACGTTGGCTGCTTCTCTTGGCAGCGCTTTGCTGCTGGACCTTGCTCAGCTCTTGCATCTCTGCCTTTGCGCTCTTCCGCTGCCACGCTAGGGGGAGAACGCTCGCTGTGGGCCATCGGCCAGCCGTGTTGGTGACTGGCAGTCTAGCCACCTTGGCTACAACGTGGCTTCTCTTGCTCTTGGGATTGCACGTGTACTTTAGTGTCATGGGCATCACTACGCTGGAATGGGCCACTGGCGGAAACCAACTGAGGGGGCAACTCCAAAGGTGTCAAAGCCTCCAATTCTCCATTGTGAGCATGAGATGCCTGCCAATGCAGACCTTGCAGACACCCCTTACACCCCCCAAGAGGAATTTGGTGGAGGCTGCCGAAGAGGCTGTACCCGAAGTGAACACCATGAGGCGATCACATTGGTCAAAGCTTCGAGCAGCTGTCCTGTCAGAACCTTCACTGAAGACACCAAGTTCTTTCAAGTGGCGCAGGCGCTTGTCATTGTCTTCCGTGGCGGTGGAAGAGACATCTGAGAGTGAGGATGTGGGGGAGGATGTGGAATCATTAGATGATCTGACCCCTGCGAGGCAGCATTCAGCTTAGGCTTAGGGGAGTGAGTGGAAAAGACAGTTCTGTTGGCTCATTGGTGATAGGTTGCCATAGCTCTGGATGTGTTTAGCTGCTTAGCTGTGTTACCAACTTCAGCGGATGATTGGAATCAGAAAGCATCCAGCTTTTGGAGGATGGGGATGCTGAAGTCGGACCTGCGAAAGGCTATCCGCAGCTGGGACATGACTGCAAGCGATGGCTTGTTTGACTAGCGGCAATAAATGGAGATAATAGATGCTAATGTCAGTGGATCCAATTTTTTTCAATGGAAACTGTACAAGTCAGTAAGTACACTCTGGAAAAAGCTGCGATGTAGCCAAAACTTTCTGAGGCATACCTGTACCTTGGTATACTTGCATGGCTATTGTCGATGTGGCGAGAGCCTCAGGTGACAGGAAGGTCAGCATTTGGGACAACAACGTCCCATTCTGCAACTCCTGGTAACGTCTTCTGAAACTTTTCTTCGGCAACTTTCTGGTTTTGCGAAACTGCTTTTCAGCAAGCGCATTCTCCAGCAACTCTTTCGATCTTCCGAAACTATTTTGCATCATTCAGAACATTTTTCAGAAACTGCTTCACGATCTTCAGAAGCTATTTGGCAATCGGAGACCCTGCCGGAGACTCCCCCACCAATCCATTTGGGTCGTGAAATCATTCCATGTTAGGGAGCAGGGGTCGTTCGTGGTGGTCTATGTTAGGGCATACTTTTAATTAGCCAGGGATCTTAGAGGTGGCGCGACCTGGTCTATGTTAGCCCCAGACCTTTTTACCGGTTGAATCAAGTGGCAGGGTCATTCCCCAGCAAATTCACGGTTAAGGCATTCCATGTTAAACATCCGTGAAATCAGCCGTTTTCACCTATGTTTGTCTTCGGGAGCGTAATTGCTCTCTTTCAGGTCTTTCAAACATCTACTTGTTTTGGTGGTTCGCATTTGTCCCTTTCCATGCTGAGGCTCCGAGTACCTTCCTGGTGGCCCGCTGAGCTTTTGCATGCCTTGGGTGCCTGGCGGAGATCGAGCACGAGGACGCAGATCAAAGCTATTTAAATTATCGGAGTCCAAGTCTTCCTCAAGTTCCAGGACTTCGCGTCGTGTTGCCCACCGCGCAGTACTTGCGGCAGCCGTGGGGTGAGAGTGCCACCTCATGGTGGCCTGGTCACATTGGGAGAACACTGAAGCTGGTGGTAATGAGAACACTGCATGGGCTTGCTATGGCTTGCTCAGCAAGACTGGTATGTATAACATTGGATTTACGTAGTCGGAGTTGGCAGTTGGCCCAAATCGAAGGAGATTCCAGACCAAATTGGATTTCAGAGGTCGTTCAAAGGTCACCACTGCCACCACCACATTGTTTTGCTAAGGTATGGCTATGCCTCTCCGAACCACAATCGTGCCTTTGAGCTGCATTTGTTTCACTTTCGAGTCAGAATTTGCATACTCTTTGCCAATTGGAGGCATACTGTGCGATTTCTAGAATTGGTACTTTGCTATAACAGCTCCTGGTTGTGAATTCTGCCCAAACAGATCTGGGGGCTTGGAACGGGGCCCCTCGGAACATCTTGAAGGTTTCAGGGTCCAGCGCGTCAGCTTGCAGAGCCGTGCTGCTAGGGGCTCCAAGAAACAGTGCATCACTCTGCTGAATGTGCCTGAGGTAGGTGATCCGAATTCATTGCGCGCGACACGAGAGAAGTTAGATTGCCTTCTTCATGAAGAAGTCAGCAGATTAGGCGAGGATGGCGCCGTTCACAGTACAGGTTTGCAACGGTTGAAAGATGCGCTGATTTCTTGCCGTTTGAGCTATACACGAGCATGCTATCACAGGCAGCCTAAGAGTCACGAGTGACCATGGCCCACATTGTCATTCTCTGATGTGTCAAATCTGTGTGACTTTCTACTGTTTTATCATAGGGTCCTAGAGCAGGACCAGAACGGACCAGAGGGCCTCTTGAGTGCTTGATGCATTGCCCAGGGAGTGAATATTCAGACTGGACTTTTTCTTGGTTTCTGGAGGTGATGGCCGCTACGTGTTCCTTGGTGGTGCCTCTCAAGGCTGCACCACAGCACTAGATGCCTACATCCGGTGAGGGTCTGAGGGGCTTTGACTGCTTTGACTTTGATGCGTTCTGGTACCGGGGTGTCAATTCTCAGTTTCCTGGACTTCCCAGCGACGCCTCCCCCCATGAAGTCAAGCCCCATTTTTCCCTTGCAACAGATGCAGAGCCCAGTTTGAGGCTTGCTGTCGACTTGAAACTGGGCGGCTTTGTGGGTAGCATTGGTTTTGTGCCAACGGACTCCAAAGGCGAGCAAGAAGCGAGGTCGCGTTCAAGATTTGATGGTACGGGGCGACCTGGACGTTGTAGCCCTTGTTAGCAAGCATGCTGTACAAGCTTGGAAGGGGAGTTTTTATTTGAATTCTGCTGCGTCCAGCTGGCAGCTGACAATATCTTGCCTTTTCTTTGCAAGTCAGAATTGTCCTCCATGAGAAAAACGGGGAGGACTTCTTGTGAAACACTGCCACTGGAGGTTTCTATGGTGCGGACCGAGCACTTCGAACTCTGATGGCAGATGAGCAGCAGGTGGGACAACAACCCTCCATCGCAAGCGACCGACGAGAGTTGCAGTGTAGTAAGAGGTCCTTAGTGCAAGCTACCAAGAGGAGCGAGACCGCACAGGGAAATTTAGGGCTGTTCCTGTAGGAATGTCAATGACGGTTAACTATGGTTAACTGCAAACCACCGGACTTGGAAATGAAGAGATGGCTCAGATATGTAATTTTGAAAGCTTTCCTCAGGCTGCACAGCCGGTTTGGCTGCAATGTGCAATGGATGACTTTGTAGCGGTGCCCTGGAGGAGACGAACCCTGAAAGAGAGGATCAGCATCACCGCGTCACGAGATTTCATGATTCTTTTCATTGGTCCATTGTGCTTTGGCTTGTGCTTGGTCTTTGTTGGGCCTGAAACAAACTCAGATGGTTTGCCACACTTTGACCCTTTTGCAAAGCATGGTTTGTCATGGGCGGATTGGTTGTTTCGAGTTAAATGTACCTGTTCATGACTAGACCGCAGTATTTTGGACGAACTGGTGCAGCCAAGTCCCTGTCGAGGAGTGTCGTGGAGCCCTCCTTGCGGCGGGCCTCGAGGCCTGTAGAGTCCTTCAGTGAGATGACGTTTGAATCCTAGTTGATATGTTTGATCCTATCATTTGTGGAACATGAGATATTTGATTCATTTTGATCCTTTCATCCTTCCTCGAGGCCTGTAGAATCAATGCTCATATTTGGATCGTCGGTGTTCGTCAATTAATGGAGCCTTAAAGAGCATCCCATCTTCACGCGAGTTTGCGACTACGACGTCTTTGTTTGTGCTTTTTGCATTCGTTTTCCATATGTTCCCTGGAAGCAGTACTGATAAGGATGGTTCCAAGTTCCAAGCTGGCGCAGGCTGCCAGGCTTGCAGCTGCGCCAGGTGGCTGGACGAGGTCATGGGATAGAAGACTGGGAGGCGAGATTTGTGCCCAAAATTGAAAGGAAAGACACAACACATTGTCTAGACTATTGTTTACGGAAGCAGTGGTTTCTAAGAACACTTGAAAATAGTGAAGAGATTCTGAAAGGTATCTAGAACTTTCTAGAACTCACTTCAGCCAAAGCCTCCTCCGCAGGCCCACATTGTCAACGACCTCTTGCGCGCCCACGCGCCGTATGCCTACACCCGTGAAGCGAGTGAAAAGATATCCTCCAGACCACAGTAGGACGACTTCACCTTTCTTTGCGACTCACATTTTCCAACTCACCAAGGGAGATAGGTAGCACGGGATGGAACCATGGAGCTTTCTAACATCCAGCATCGCAGGAGGAATGCTCAGATGAGCAACTCCCTCACTGCGCAGAAGCTGTCAGGACCTTGAAGAGCTGGTCTTAAGAAGGACTTGAGGAACAACTGAGATATTAAAGTACTGTATATAAGTTTTTTGAGGTAAAGGAGGATCGGATGACTACGGTACAATTTCAAAGGTACAAAGGCGGCCTTTTTTCACATGACTCAGGTGGCCTCTTTGGTCTCCTTAGACGGCTTGGCTGAATACCTCGTGGCCGGGTGGCTCAGAATGACCGTGAAGAAGCAAATGTGAATCCGTTGAAGGGAAGCAATTTGTACTTTTTCGCGTGCCTGAACGTATTTCATTCCAACAAATGGCTCGTCGGCTGATTAGCTGGATCCGGTTGCCTCAAGCATGTGCAGAAACCCTGACCCTGATTGCGAATGTTTTAGAAGGTGTCACCGGGTGATAGCATCCACTGACATCAGTTGGCATCGCCCTGAATCCTATCCCCGAGGATGCGCTGGAAAACGGAGTGGCTAGTCCAAAGCCTGAGCGACTTGCAAGGCAAAAGGGGTGAGGAACGGTGAGGAAAACCTGCTTTCGTAACTGTCGACAGGCACACCGAATTGAGGACTTTGGTTGCCTCTGGGTGATTTACCCAGATCCCTCCGGAGAGTTGCGCTGTGCAAGGCTGGGGTGGGCACCAGCGGCCACGGCATTGCTGAGCAAGACACCTAGCGGAGGCAGAGTCCAACCTTGCGCAGCTGCCGGTGACGCAAAGGTAGCTTGGAACCCAAACAATGTATTCACACAATTCACACGAAGTTGATAGTTTTAATGTCATAAATTATTGCCCACTTAAGCAGCCTCAGTGACTCAGAAACCTTTGCCTAGTACCTATCATACACATGGCTTTCTGATGCTTTATATGTCCTATGTTACACAGATTGACAACTTTTGTGCAGATGCATTCTGGACGTTTGCACAAACATCCGTTCATCAAAGCTCTAATTTTAACATCATCCAACTCTTCCACTTGGCCAGTTCAATGTGGCATAGACAACATCGAAAACGACGTCGCATCCATCGGTTACCCTTCCTCTATCCTGATTCATCGGAAGACGAGAAGACATATACAGTGGCTTGACTCGACCGAGCAAATCTCATTTGGGCAGGTGCAGTGGAACTGGGCGGGGGCTCCGGTGCCGGCTTTCAGGTGTGGTTTGCTGTTCGTGTGTCACTGTCAGTGCTCTTGCGTTGCTTTATATACTCAGTGACTCAGTGTAATGACATGCAATGACCCTACGATGACTGTCATGGGTGCAGACTGTTCCAAAGTTGAACATGCACAAGTCATGTTGGTTCCTCTGCAGGTAATCTGCGAGGACCGCGGCATCGCCACATTGGGTGGCGGCCATGGGACCCAGCTTCAACTTGAAGTTCAGCCAACAAGGCAGCTTTTATCCTTAAATCTCAAACGGACAGGTTCTCGGTCCGCTCAAGGGTTTTGCTGCTTGCCCAACGCAGATCTGCCGTCACCCGATGTTCAACCTTTGATGACATGAGAGCGCATCAATGTTCAACTCTTTGCATTTTTTGCCAAGGTGGAGGTGGTGGGGCGTTTGGTTGGATGCAACCACACGTAGATGGATACCTAGGCCTGGACCCGTTGGATCCTCTTGGACCCTGTTAGGACTGGACCCGCTCAGAGGCTCATGTGACTCATCTGCAGCTTTGCATCTGCACCTCATAAAGCAAACATTTTGGGACGATTCGTGTCGGTTCATTTAGGGACTGCACATGCTGATTGGTGGAAGTTATCTTCACTGATCCTGCAGGTGCCCGCAGATTAGCAGGGATACCAAGTTTTAATCGTGTTGATGTGCAGGTAGCTGTTCAAGGAAATCTGACAAGAGTCACCACGATCCCAGGATCCTACTTATCTTCCACTATATTGGAACCCCATCTCGCTGCGTTTTGGATCAAGAACTGAACATTCGAGAGAACCAAGAAGATTTTGCAGGATGCAACAAAATGACATCGCACAGAATGTGTAGAATTTTAGGCTCGCTTATCTTCAGAGCTTGTACTGTAACTCTTACATTGCCACACGGCCACACGTTCTTTTTCTTTGCAAGAAAGCTTCTGATGCGACTGCCTTGGCATGGGCTGTACCTCCAGTGCTGACAAGTATGGCACCGTCGCCACTCCAAGTGCCAAAGCCACACCGGCCACGCCCGCTTCGCCCGCGTCGCCTGCGTCGCCCACCTCTGCTGAACCGGCCGCGTCGCCGGCGGGCGCCGGAGCGGCAGGAGCCGGGACCACTCGGCGCGGCTCCCGGGTGGTCGAGGAAAACACCGACGTCATCGTGGGAAGCCGACGCGCTGCACCGATGGTGGGGCTCAGGCAGGATGCTGATGGAGATGAAGCTCATGAATTTTTTGTGGAGGATCCCAAGACGGGCGAGATGCGGCAAGTCACGAGGGATTTGGTGGAGCTGGGGTGAAGGGGGACAGAAGTGCAACAGGCAGCAACAGAAGATTGCCTGGGCATTAGATCACCAAAATTTGAGGTGAGACATGTGCTGTTTCACAAGAGTGCATGGGATGAGTCAAAGTGTTCCGACTCGTCATAGAATCTTTTTTTTTTTTTTTTTTTCGGGGATCTTTTGAGTTTTGGATCTGCTAAGCAGCTGCACCAAGCTTCTTGCTCCACGGAAAACAATAGCTTGACCGCATTCATAGTTACATTGATAGCTTGCAACACATTTGACAGCATTTGGCATGTGAAATTCAAGCCAAGGCGAAGAATGAGACAGTTGGAGGCACTGGAAGTGTGTGTGCAAGCTTGGACTTGATTTTACTTCATTTTTGAGATCACTTGCCATTTGACCTTCGTATTGCAGGCAAGGGTCTCTTGTCGCGTCTGTGGCTGTCCTTCTCGTCTCAACAGGTGGCGCTGGCGGTGGCATGCAGCTCTTCTTCCCGGCGAATGTGACCGCACGACCTTGGGAGGTGCACAATGGGGGCTGAAGACTGCAAGTCTGACAAGTCAGGTCTGCTTTGGAAGGATTGGACTCGAGGGTTTTGTGTAGTCCACTTTCTTCATTCTGTTTAGCTTTCTTTCGTCAGTGTTGGTGTTGTTCTGCCAAGCTGCGGTCTTGTTGGTCTCCCAACCGTTTGGACGCTTTCGCACCTGGCATTTGCCTCTTAGACGAAGTGTTGCAGGCGGACCACTGGATCTCCTGGGGATCCGGTGGTGGCCATGGATGCCGGGACCTTGCACTTGTGGCGCTGAAGAGGTACCGAAACTCATCATCCTCGATAATCCTGGATCCTCAATGCAGATTTGATGTGCCCCTTTATGCTGAAAGGTGTGTTGGGCTGATAGTGCAGATTGGCTTCGTGGGTAGACGAATGACCCAACGTTTGGAGCCCGCTCGGAAATCGCCATTGCAAGCCGCTGAGGCGGCTCGTGCAAAGCTGGTGACACCTTCTGTGAGGAGTCTGGGCCGGTCTGGGTGACAAATTGGTACCTGTTTCATCATTTGCCACTTTCAACGCGCCATCTGCGGCTGGCCACGTTCTCTGCAAGTACATCATGTTATGAACAAAGATGCAGCGGGTCACCAGTTGGTTCTTTTTCTAAGGGCATCGTACACAGCTGCTCCCACCAAAGGTCGTCCCAAACAGCAGCCCGCCTCACATGCTTCATGATCTTTACGTTTTTCCTAGAGATGAATTCATTCATGCACTTGTGTCTTGATAGAGTCACTCAGTGCTGGCAGTTTGGAGGAGTCCCCCTTGCGAATCACTTGTGGTGCCAAGTCTCCCTGGCTTGAGCTTGACCAATGAAGACGGGAAGCCGCCAAGCATTCAACAAGATTGTCGGATCTCCATTTGGATTTCTTCTTCAGCTCTGACCCCCAGCTGCATGGAGCTTTCCCGAGAACACATTGTCCAGCCCATAAACTTGACCATAAACAACACTGTTGGGGATGCAGCCCCAGCATTTAAGGCTGGAGATAGACATTATCTTGGTAGCAAAGAGCGCCGCCAGGATGGATGATACTGGTGCCATCGGGCAAGCAGAAGGCTATCAGGACGGCATGGGCGCAAAGCAAGTTGGGCGGTCCAACGCGATTCTGAAAGAAAAGAAGGATTCGATGGCTCGATGCCCAGCCCCTCCTTTGTACTTTACATTGCGGAGATCGAAACCCAGACACATACCAAGAGACACTATTTTTTGTAGGCCTTAAGGCCTTAAGGGCTTTGTGTGGGCTCAGTAGAATGGGGTGTGGGGGAGGCGATCAAGAACTGGCGTGTGGGAGTCTCTGACTCAGCAAGATATCAAGAGCAGGTTGCAGCTTGTCGAACAAGACATTTTGGATCCTAGACAAGCACAGAATTTGGTTCTTCTTCCTACCGATCCATCCTGACCTCAGGTTTTGCGTGCCTGCTACGATGCTGGGCGATTGGCCGTCATCGGTGGTGGAGGTGGGGGGGTTTCTGCCTCAGTCACCTCTCAAGGAGCTTTTAAAACAGCATTGGCCGAGCCCGCCCATTGCCTCTTCTGGTAGTAATCCAAGACGATCCCAGAGTCACAGCTCCACTGAACTGAGATTGTGTAATCTTACTGCCACATATATATATATATATATGTACAATATACACAAACCTCTTGGTTTTAACATGATACACTGGAGCAGAACATTGAACATTATGAATCCATGCCACTGGGTCGACTATCCTCACCATGGATCCACCAAGGCTGGAGGTGCACGCTGCTGTGCTTCCATCCCCAGGTGGCTTGGGATCATCGACAGATGTGGTTCTGAACTGCTATGATCTCTTGGTGTGTTGACCACTGCTGAGCATAGCATCTTGAGCATCATGGTATGGCAGAGGTTTGCTTGAAGCAAGTCTGAGCCAAGCTAGACACAGCGTTCCAGTCTTCTTTCAGACTTGCTGACTGGCTTCAAAAAGACAATTCCATCTCTAGGGTGAGAGTTGCAAAATAGGTGGCTGCAGCAACTACCATTTATATAATGAAGCCTACGGCGGCCCAAGAACATGTTCAGCCATATCGACAGCATGTGCTTAATGTTAGCCTCTCTCGAGCTGAAATGACTGGCCCTTCTCTACTGGGAGATGTGTCCGTAACACACAACTGGGAGAGGGCCTCTTCGGTCTATTGTTGTCGCTCTCAGCACTTCTGTCGACCTCGGGAATTGCGCTATGGTCATGGGCAACTGTCCCCCGACCTGGCATCAAAGTGGGTGACCTTGGACCGGGATGAGGCGACGAATGCATTCTTAGAGAACTGTTTGGCAGGTCACTTGGGTCCCAGACTTCTGGACATTTGCAAGTTGGCTCCTTTGCGTATCCTTCGTTGGTACTTCTCCGCCACGGACGCCAATGCGCTGTTGGGCCGCGGGGAGATGTTCGTGTTGAGCTCGGACCAGGCCCAGCGCTTGCTAGGCGCTGGCACCAGTGGTGTGTTGCTGGATATCGGCGCGGGCGCAGGGCACACCACCTCAGAGCTCGCTCAGCTGTTCGACCAGGTCATTGCTACAGAGGTCAGTGGACCCATGGTGACCAAGCTGGAGGCGAGAGGCTTTCCAGTGCTGCAGGGTTCAGACCTCTCTGGGCTGCAGGAGCAACTCGTGGATGCGATTTGCAAGGATTTCTGTAGTAGTGTCATTAGTCCGTGTAGAGTGTAGAGAGGATACAGGTGTTTCTATATATATATATCTCTCTCTCTATCTACCTAGATCCTGGGTGACCTCTATGTTAGATCATCATTCACCCAATTTTTTTGCTTTCCATCAAAACAAGGGTCAACTGGATTCGAGGTATATATACACACCTTTTGAGATTCAGGCCTTGTTTTGGCTAGAGAGAACCGTGGAAGGACCTAGCGGCGCTCCATGGCATTGCTCTGGGTGAGGGTGGTTTGGTGGATTGCATTGCTTTGATGTGGCTCAGCCAAGTGAGCCTGGCTGTTTTTTCATGATGGTCTTTTCATTGAAAGCGAGGAATGTCCTTTGCAAAAACTGAGGAATGTTTTGGACCGTTGTGACCGTCCTTTGAGCCTTTTGGAAGAGATACGAGAACGTTTAAAGCCGGATGGCAGGCCGGGAGACTGAGATTGGGTGCGGTCTCCAACCTAAGAAGCGTGAGCTATCCTGCGTCCTAGGTAGTAGCGTTTTAGTAGCTAGTAGCTATTAGTAGCTACCTCTTCCTTACTTCATTAAGTAGGCGCCTACTTAGTTAAGTAGGGGGGGAGGGGGTGGAAAGAAGGACCTTTAGGCTAGGAACAATAAGCTATACTAGGGGCTCCTGGCCTTACTACTAGGAGCAAGGACGCTACTAGGGGCTCCTGGCAAGAAGCTACCAGGGGCTCCTGGCCTTACTACTAGGAGCAAGGACGCTACTAGGGGCTCCTGGCATCGCTGCTAGGAACAAGAAGCTACTAGGGGCTCCTCCCAAGATGTATGCCGACTTGCAGAGGTACCTGGTTGAGGTTATCCGCGTGCGAGCCAGGTTGTTGCTGGCCGTGGTTCTTCCCTTCCGGCCCTTCGTGGAGAATCTCGGAATGACAAGCTGTGGGTGTCCTAAAGACCATTTTAGAGGCACGAAAGGAGCAATCAGTGGGTGTCCTCATCCTCACGCACGCTCGTCTTCGCATGAACTCATTGGGAAAGGCGTTCATTTTGATGCGCTTCGCGTTTGTATTTCATCTTTGCATGCACTCATTTTTGCGGCTGGTCCCATTCCAGCCCATCCAAGTAACACGCGCGTCCGTCGTGAGGCGAATGCTAGGGTCTAGGGTTGTTCCAATAGGCTCCCAGAGAGTACTGTAATTGTTGCGGATGTTTTGGAAGGAACAACCTCTATTTCTTGGCAGTCCCAAACATCAAAAGTGGACAACAAACATGTTTGGGGGGTTGAAGTGTTCGTCCAGCTGTCGATGACGCAACCGTCGCTTGTCCGGATCAACTTGAGGAATGGGATTTTTCATTTGCAACCTTCAGAGCAGCTGAATTTGAGCCGCAATGCAATCTTTGAGTATGCAATGGAGGAGATATGGCTGTCAGTGCTGAAGCCCATGGGTTTTCACTTGCAGGCAATTTTCCTGGCTCATGGGCATTTCAGAATCAGAATGTCAGGATGCAGTACGATCAACTACTGTGTCCGAACTATCCCTTTGCTGATTTAAAGGTGGAGTAGGTTTGGACACAAGCACCTTGCTTTTTGGGGACACCTCAGTAGAAGATCTGCAAGTGAAATCAGCTGAATTATGTGAAATAGATAGAGACAGGCCGTGGCCCGCGTGCCCTATCTTTGCAAGGGAGACTTGCATCTCGGCCAACGTGAGATAGGATGAAAGCGGATGACGCAGATATCAAAGTGAGATAGGATGAGATAGGTGGGTCGGTGGGCCATTCAGACGAACGCCGCTCGATCATTTGGATTTGGATTCAAGCCCAGGTTTGCCAACGTCTATGTCTTGGATGATGCCATCTTTGTGCTCAGTCGTGCTTAGCGATTGGCGGAAGTGAACGAATCTGTTGGTGGCACTATCAACGAAGGCTCCAGACGAAAATCTCTGGAATGTGAGGGAGTTGAGATCCGTCACCTCCTTCGCCTGGATTAGCTCGTTGAGTTCCAAGGAGAGTCTTTGGAGACATGCGCACCCAACCCAGGTGGAATCATATCAATGCAAGAGCTTCGAACTTGACTGACAGATCTGCATTCAATGCTGTCAATGGCAATCCTTTCAGCAGGGTGAACCATTTTAGCGTCCCTTCACAGCCGACCGACATGCTTTGTGCTCCCCTCTTCTTCAATCCAATGCGGCCAATAAGCCTTTGTATAGAGTATAGTGGCTTGACTTGATCCGTGAAGAACACCGAAGGAGGTCCTTTGCATTTCCATCATCCTAGGGCCAAGGCACCTGCGCATTGATGGGATTGATTGATACTTTACTAGTTCTGGGCTTCCCCAGAGTCCCATCCTGGCTCTGAGCCCGGTGATCAGCTACATGCGTGGAAGTTTCTCTTCAAAGCAACCTGGATTTTGCTACCTTCGCAACTGATGACCGCCATCTGTCATGATTCACGATCGACAGTTTTTCGGATGTGCAGCTGGGTTGTACTTAGAGCTCAGAAGCTTTGAGAACCCGATGCGCTGGGTATGCACCACGTGTGCAGGCTGAAGTACGGCTTTGGCTTCCGGGCGGAGCTACGCCCGCGAGGTCGTGGTGCAGCCGCGCCGGGCATGGAGGTGCGATTGAACCATCACAGATCTGCAATCGTCAGCTACCGTCCTTAGTCAAATTGAGATAGAGTATGTCACACACCATGTCAGCTGAAGCTGGTGGGGCATGAAATGACCCCTCGACTTCTGTGCCATCTCGCCATCCACCATCTCTGATGGGGGTTGGAATTGAGCAGATGAAAGGAAGGGCCTGCCTGGCCAGGACACGCAGTGTTGCCCTGATCTGGCTGGCGGGGCCCAAGCAGTGAACGGGGTAGTCAGCTTCCACTGTGGTTGCTGTGTTACATGGTTGCGTCGCAGACAGAATCGATCACTCCAGTCTAAAAACCTCAGTGCAACTGATTCCTAGTCAAGTATCTTGTTTCGCAGAAGCACAGGTGATCAACCGAAAGCATGATCACTCCACAGGCTGGAACAGTACGACGAGCACCACAAAGCTTGGGAGTCAGTTGGCACAGGCTGGGCGGGTGGTTGCCCAGCAACCCACAGCCACTGGGACTGTGTTCTTTTTCTGTTTAACCGGTACTCTCAGAGTCAGAGTTTACTAGGACAAATGGCTGGAAAGGCGTAAGATTCAAAGAATGAGAGTATATTGTCATTGTTGCATGACATCATATTCAATTAAGCTTTTTGCAGGAGCCTGTAGTGGTGGCGTCCACTGAGTCCGCTGTCCCCCAAACCCCGCAGGCCCAATAGGCCTCACGCTTCCATAGTGGTTTTTTGCAGGGAATAGCGACGACCTGGAACCGACGGCTGTCAGTCGCCTTCGGTGGCTTGGGCGGACAGCCCGGAGCTCTGAGTGCTGTGAGTATTACAGTGATTACAGTAGGGGAAGGGAGATCTTGAGATTTGGTGAAAGCAAAGGCAACGTCTTTCAGATGCTTTTGCCTACGTCACATGAGCGTCAACACTGAAAGAAATGCTTTCATGGCCTCTCATGGCCTTTTAGTTTGCAGCTAAGGGCTCTTCCCGACGAGCTGGCACCCATGGTGGATCCGTTTGCCCGCGAGCCTGCAGCCTAGATTTGTCGAAATTCTGACAAACAGCGCGTGTGATGTGAGAGATGTCTTTGCAAGCTGAACATAGAAGTAACTTCATTCAAGTTGTATTCTTCACCCTAGCTGAGAGCGGGAAGAAGCCGGGGACAATTTTGTTGTCTTTGCATACTGTACACTACATGTGGTAATGAGTCAGAGGTTTGGTTCCCACATACTGTTTGTGTACATCTTGGGATTGCTTTCCTCTCTGTTCCCACAGGGGGTGTTACAGGAATACTGGCCATCAACCACCTGGACATGCAAATCGACGGCCCTTGCTGGAGGACAGGGGCGGACCGAGACAGATGATCACGGACTTGTTGCGGGGGACATTCATCAAAACAGCGTCTCTCACACTCGTTTTTTTTCCGCGCGAACCTTTGAATCAAGTACTTGGAGAAAAGCAGACAGACTTCAGCTGGAACTGCGTGCAACATGTACACTCATGTACTCACTTTGTACGGCTTCATGTGATCAGTCTTCTGAAACCGTGAACTTGATTTCAGTCTTCTGACGCCGTGATTCAAACTGCAGCGATTCAAGTTGTGCTTTCATTGTGAAAAGGAGCTCATGAAGCAGCATGATAAACGGCTAGGCGGGCTTGGAGGATAATGTCAAGCGAGTTGTGCTGATGCCCAACTTCCACAACGACAGCCTTTCCATTGAATGAGGTTGTCGTTTTTGACATGATAAGCCTGTTTCACTACTGGAGCTCAGTTCTTGTTACAACACTGAGAGTCAGAGGTTCCTGGGCAAGAAAACAAACGAGCCGTGGTGAGAACGCATCAGTTTTGGCTCAGAAGATCGTTTCATGGTTACCATCGCTACTAGTAACAAGGGCATTACTACTAGTAGCTAGAAGCTACTTGTAACAAGGGCATTTGGTGAGAAGCCCTTGACATGTTTTGCCATACCCATTCGACCCCAGAGACCATCCTTCGTCCCATTCGACCCCAGATCGTCACTCTGCAAGTGCATGGGTCTGGATGGGCCGCAGCCCTTTGTTTGCGTTCTTGATGGGCTTTAAGCCACCTGAGCAGCTGAGACTTGGCTCGGTGTGCGAGCGCATGCGAGCGCCGACCGTGCGGGGTCCCTTTTTTCCCGCAAGACCTTGAGCGAACAAAGATTTGGATGGAGCAAGGTGGTAGAAACTAGGCTCTCTCTATATATGCTTTCTATCCCTTTAGTGATGTGAGCTTTCACCGCTCAAAGTCTTTTGGTTCGAGCGGTGGTCAATGAGCTTGACCTTTGCTCTTGATCTTCGAGAGCTCCGCTGGGCGTGGCCCGTTCAGTGCAGCTCCTCTGGCCTCAGCCTTCCCTTGGTGCTCTTACTCCTCATCCTGGCTTGCTGCTTGGGCTGCATCTGTGGGGGCCTCGTGGTTTTGACTGCGCTCTCGGCTTCTTGCAGAAGAGTTCTAAGCTGGCTCATTTCTGGGTGCGCTGCCGCTCTGGTCGATCCTCTTCCTCAAGGCGACACTTTGAGGCGCAGGCTAGGGCAGTATCGTGCTGTGCATGGGGCCTGAGCGCCAGCTGGACCAGCTAGTTGTGGAATTTGGGTATCTCAGGATCCGAGTTGAGAGAGCAGGAGGTTATCAAGCAGGCGCTGGCAGCACCGCAGCGCCTTCTACTACAGGGTCCCCCCCTCAGGGTGCCCTTGCAGGCCTGCACGGGCCACAGTTGAGCAGAGCTCAACTACTTCAGCAGCGGCCTCTGATCCTGGATCTTGGGAGCCTGTTGCGGCTGGAGCTTCAGCTTTTGCGCCTCACACTCCGGAGTGGGAGAGGGCCCTGATTGCTGCCCTCACTCCGGAAGAGATCGAAGGTCTGGATTTGAGCCCGGTCACTCATTTGCTGCCGCGCATTCGCAGCAGTAGCAACGGCTGGAGCCCACTCGGACGTCTGGGTCGAGCATTGAGAGCTGGAGTGCAAGCCTGGCGCCAGTGGTCAGGCCGGTTGGACTGACCACTATTTGACCTTCAGAGATCAGGTGCTTGGGCGCCACGGTGACATCCACGGAGACGCAGTGTGCCACGCCTTCCCCTCGCGTGCTGAGGCGGAGGCGTACCTCATTGGTGCTCAGCGGCCATTGCGCCGACCTCAGACGAGTTGGGACTACGTGCCCTGTGGGATTCTGTCCCTCCCTCAGGGCAGCTGCCAGCTCTTTTCTTGGTCTTGCCGGCCAAGGAAGATGGGACAGGGTTGCGGGTCACCGCTTTTTTGGCGAGGATTCGCCCTGGCGGCTTCATGGTGGTCCTACCAGACTTTGTCGAGGTCACCTAGTTTTTGAGAGAGCAGTGCACCTCCGATGGTTCAGAGGCTTGTGCCATTTACCCCGCCGAGGTCCTCATGGAAACTCCACGGGGCAGAGTGCTGGCAGATGGACCATGCATTCTGGTCGATTTGGTCTGGGAGATGGTTGCCTTGTTCATGCGAGCTCATCCCTTGCGCAGTTCAAGTACGTTCGAGCTCTTGAGATTTGCTCTGAACGACCAGCCTTGTCGACCTCGACGTTCAGCCCTGCAAGCGGTGGCCGAGCAATGGATTCACGAGGTCATGGACGACGATACAGCTGGAGATTATGTGACAGGGCTCTCAGAAGAGGAACTCCTTGTGGAGGAAGATCCGGCCGGCGCTGGAGGAGATGGCTCAGTGCACCTCGACGCTTTGCAAAGAAGGGTGTCAGAGTTAGAAGCTTTGTTGAGGCAGCAACCACCTGCCGCCGCCACTCCTCCGGCCAGACGTCCTGCGACTTCAGTGACACCAAGCCGAGGAGTCTTATTCGATGGAGCTCGAGCAATACCCAACACCGAGCCTCGAGAGGAAGCTTTGGCCAGACTGCGAAGCCTGGCGGGAGCGGCTCCGATGCGGTTCTGTGCACACGAGCGAGCCCAAAGGGCCCAGAGACCAGAGCAGGTTTTGGAGTCACTGCAGCAGGAGGAAGGCCTAGAGGCTCTCGAGACTGGCGAGCTCGAGGAGGGCATCAGAGATCTGGAGGCTACAGTTCAGGTGCAGCAGCTCTCACTCCTGACACGTCAACAGCAGCAGCAAAAGCAGCAGGACCCGATTTCAGCCGCGCTCAGCGGTGGTGGGGGAGAGTCTTCAAGCGCGGCCAGTGCAGGGAGCAAAGGATGTATGGCCAGGGAGGCCTTCATTCGCCTGATGGAGGACTTGCCCAAATTCTCCTCCGTCGTGATGGCAAATGCGGCCCGCGAGCTCGGGATAGAACTTTCAAGTGTGGGCCCAGGCCTCACGCGGGATTACATCGAGAAGCGCTGCCCGCTTGGAGACAATCGCCACTTGACGCAGCAAGCTTACCTTTGGGCTTTCGCCTGGGAAACCGGCTTCCGGTCCAACAACATCGACATCGAGCTCATGGCCGTTGCGAGTCGGGGCTTGGTCTACATAGATCAGACAGCCATGGACTTCAACAAAACAAAGTTGAGTTGGCTTCTCACGGCCCTGCCCGAGCCTCAGTACAGCATCTGTCAGAAGAACAGGCTTCCGAACACTCTGAGCCCATTTCAATGCGAGCTGGGTTGGAGCCAACGTGGCATTCATGAAGGACTTAGATTTCCTCGAATCAAAGATGAAGGCCACCTCAGGAACCACCACGAAAGGAGTCGGAGCTCAGGAGGACGAGCGCGAAGAGGCAGCTCCAAAGAAGCCCTGGAGGCCAAAGAAAAAGAAGGCCAATGCTGGCGCGACCACAGAAGGGTCGACTGCCTAGATGGAGCCAAGCGCACTCCGTCGCCCTCTCCTCTAGTCCCCTCTTTGCCGGGCTGTTCTACCTCAGGACGGGGGGTGTGTAGCCCTACTGTCTTTTCCGGTCGGGAGGCGGCTGGGGGAGCTTCGGGCGGCATTTTCAATGGAGTGCAGAAAGAAGATAGGCAGTTCGGCTACGAGCCAAGAGACGGAAGCTGCGCGGCCTCAGAGCATGAGGCCTTCCCCGGGATCCACCACCTGGGCGGTCAGTTTCCAGTTCCAATTAGGTGCACCGAGGTGGTGACAGCGATTGCTACAGCCGGGGTCTGGTTCGGATCTTGCTCATTTTCTCCATCGCAGCTGTCACCCTGTCCGCAATGCTTGGGCCTTGCAACCGCGAGGCGATCTCTGGCCTTGTCCCCCTCCGAGGCGATGGACGGCCGACACTTCAGTTTCTCCAAATCCCAGAAGAAGGCGACGGCTTCGCCACCTCCAAGCTCGAGCTATCTGCGTCCAGAGGCTGATCATCACGATGAATTGGCTGGCCCTTGGACAATGCAGGTCTCCTCCTGACTATGCCCGTGCCGGCTTTCCTGTTTCAGCTGGCCAAGCAGCGATGATTGAGAGGCTCGAAGATTTGGTTGAATATTATTTGGGTTGTGGTGAGGTAACCCTGGATAATTTGGGTAGAGCTGGTGAGAAACTGAAGAATTTGAGTGCTGCAGCTTTTACACTCCCCAATTTTTCCAAGGAGTTTGAATTCGATGATATTGCTAGTTTTTTAAACCTCAGTCAATCCTCTTTTGATTCGTACTCGCATCCACGTAGTCGGAATAGTGACGGTTCAGAAAGAAGGAACTCTGGCAAAGGCTCTGCCCAGGACGACCAGGGTGCACGCCGCCCGCAAAAGTTGTCTTTGAACGCTTGCGCAGCCATGCCTGTCAAAGCCTCTAGAATAAAGTGGAAGCTGGCTCCGAGTTTCGATCCCCGTCCATATCTGACTGATCCAATCATTCAGCAAGCGTTCGAAGACCCTGAAGTGTTGCGACGGCCAAAGACCGACTGGCCTCGTGTTGCTAAAGCAAAAGTGCATGCATCCAAGTCGGAGGCGCTGGCGTTGGCTGAGAAGTGGGACCAATTGGGGGCATGCAATCTGGTGTCCTGCGAAAGGGTTGATCCAGTGGAGACGGTTGGACTTTTCGCTGTTGCCAAAGACAGCGAGTTCGATCGCCTCATCTTGAACCCGAGCGTTGTGAACTCTAGGTCGTTCTTGTATTCGAACTACACCAAAACTCTTGCCCCCGGTTATTTGGTTTCTATGATTACGTTCGCCGACGACGAACAGCTTGTGATCTCCTCCGACGACTTGTGTGAATTCTATTATACCTTCAGGGTTTCTTCAAAGAGGGCTCAGCGCAATGCAATCGGTATCCGATACTCCGCTTCAGAGGTTGCTCATTTACAATGTTATGATCCTTCAGTACACTCAGGTTCATTGTATTTGTGTTTGGGTACCCTGGCCATGGGTGACGCGTTGGCGGTGGAGATCGCCCAACAATCCCACCTTAACCTGTTGCGGCTCCGGGCTGGTTGCATGCTTCCGGAAGAGTGCTTGCAATACAGACGTCCGATCCCCCGTGGTCCTTTCTACGAGTTGTTGACTATTGATGACCGCATTGGCCTGCAGAAGATCAAGACGAGTGGGGATTGGAGCCTACGTTGCAATCGTGACGAACAGGTTTTCGAGGCTGCAAACCAGGCTTACGTTGACGTTGGTCTCACAGCACACCCTGGGAAACGACAACGACGGGAACCCCGCACCGTAGCCCTGGGAGCCGAGATCGATGGTTGTCGCGGCCGTGTTTCAGCCCCAAGAGCCAGGGTCATGTTGCTG